GCAGCTCTCACAATGAGAGAAACTAAAATACATACATTCGTGACGGTCTTCGGCGACAGTGTCGTATGACAGAGCCTATCAAATGACATTTGAGTTTGGTACTGTACTATGATAGCTTGTTTTGCAAGTGTCGGAGGCAAAGGCAGTCGATTATCACAGAAAATGTGTCGACTACCGTGACCGCTTACAAGACTGGTGGTGATCTTACGGTGATTCCAGTATAACTCTGCTTGAATCTATACTAGAAGATATTTCTGGAACCATTTAAAAACTTCACCAAATTTGAAAAGGGCACACAAGTCTTCTGTGAACAAACCCTTCCAGTCCCTTCTCTCGTCACCCGACAACATCACATATGATGGGACCGCGAGAGTCAAGGCATGCGAAACAGCGCACGGCGATGGCGCCCTGAGAGAGCGCATAGAGATGTTGCAATGAAACAGTCGCATGTGATTGAATGCATGCGTCGCATTGAGAGAGCAATGCGATGAGACAAAAAAAAATTGAAACGCTTGAATTTGTTGAGAGCGTGTAGCTTGTCGCGCGCATCGTTCTGGTCTCTCTTTTGTACAATTAATGTAGCACACCATGGATTTGAGAGTCATGCGACGCTCTGTCTCACAGCTCGCTGTCGCATTTGTGTACGCGTGAGATTTCCGGAAGCCTGCTCACGGTACCATCGATGTCGTCGCTGCTTTTACCTGTGTTGGCAAAGTAGCATCCCTTTGCCGAAGTGAGGTCGGCAAAGTAGCACCCTATTCAGCATTGGTGGTGTTGCGCATTGCACCCTGGGCTGGTGTGGTGCAGAAATTCCCAATCGATCTTCGAGTTGGTGCTGAAGTAGCGCCGATTGCCGGTGGCGCAAATGTCAACGAGGGGGTCGTGGTGGATATTGGCAGATTTGGCAGATTTGGCCAACGCTCTGTGGGAGAACAGGGTCACGGTGTCTCTCTTCCGGATTCTTCCCCAAACCGGGAACCTTGACACTGAAGCGTGGGGTCTAGAAAGTGCAATCAAATCTCATGGGTGTGGTGTGCCGAGCAAAGCCATGAATGCGGTGCAAACTTCCACACAAAAACCGATCCCGCACAGAAAGCCGTCGAACGGCTATTCGACACATTACAATAAATCTCCACACAAACCACATTCTTCACCTTACATTTCTACACCCAACCGGTGGATGTAAGATTCGCTTACAATTATGTGGGATTCATCATCAGAGGATGTAAGTAGAGACCGCATGAACCGAGGATGCGATATACCTAGCTGCGGTTCAATGCAAGAAAATTGGAGACCGAAAAATGTAGACTGTATTAGTGAGGTAAATTAGTTATGTCGAAAAAAAATAGGAAAAAGGTTGCCGACTGGACTCGAACAACCAACGTTGCGGTTATCAGAACTGTGCTTTCTCCACTGCTCTCTCCATGCTTCTGAATAAGGATAGCCTAAAAGCAAACAAGAAGCGCTCATTTCCTCTCACACTCGACTTCGTATGCTTTTTCTGCTGGAGAGATTCGAGGCAAGTGTGTGCGTCGTTCTACCATGTTATACGTAAAAATCAAGGCAAATGCTTGCTTGTGTAGGTGAAAGCACAGACAGAACACGAAATAAAAAAGGCAAAAAACCATTACATCGCCTGCAAGGTCAACTTCTAACATTCGCTGCGATGTTCATATACAGAGGATGATAGGAAATGGAACTAACATTCATTGCAATAGATTTTTGGTTTGCGTGTACTCAATTTGCACACACAAAAAGTTGACCGCACGTAACTTATGACCTATCGTTTGTACTCTACAGGCTAACGGAAATGAACGAGAGATGTAACATTAAATTCAGTCTTTTAGACTGCTCACAGTTTTTCACTACACATACCACGAAAAACACACCGCGACACTAAGTACACTTAAGTACTGATTACTCGCACTCCCGCCTCTTCCACGGTTCAAGTCAAAGTGAACGAGTAGAAGTTCCAGATACCCTCAGATAGGTGTGATTTCAACGGTCATCGTGGCCGGAAGTACGTCAAATTACCGAAGTAGTTCAACGACCTTTCAAACGACAATTCTCATCACCTTTCTCTGAAGAACATTCAATGCTGCATCTCTTTCCTTGTCAATCCATTTTGTAAAAACAGAGGCGCGTTGCGCTTAGTAGGCGCAAAAATAGATCTTAGCCCTATTTTAATTTTACCCTTTGAGAATTACGTACATGTTAAATCGGTGACAGTTACTCTGCCTCACCCTTTAAACTTGTGCACCATCTTTATAGTCACTAATTAAACACACGGATTACACATCTGCACAGCAAAAAATTAATTTTAATATTACATCCAAGAGGCTGCACTTCAATCTTGTCGAAAATCTATATAATATAATATCAGATCATGCACTGTAATAATGATAATTTTGTCCTTTTTGGCAAGTAATATTAAACCATATTTTAGCGTTAGCGTTAGCGTTAGCGTTGTTATGATATACTTCGTAGATTGGATACTAGCGACACTCACGTCTCTTCTGAAATTCTCAGTTAGACTACTTTCAGGAATAATGCTGAGGAGTAAACATTGGTTCCAATCTAAACAAGAGTGACAGAAGCATGACTGTCGCTATTCCCGGCCACGCCCATCTTTACCATAACTAGGGATAGGGAAGGAAATGTTGATGTAGTACTTACTTAACGAGAGGCCACCGACTTAGCGACACCCTCATAAGTGCTACGGAGTTGGAGGGTTGGGTAGGGTATTCGGTTAGGATTCACCTCAAGTTGGCGATGCAACCAAAAGTATGTATTGTTTATTTGTTGTTTATTTAATCTCTCGATAGCCGGCTATCGAAAGAAGATATTAATTTTTAGTTATAATGAATTTTAAGAGTCATGACGGAGAGCTTGAAATTAAACCCATGATTTTCTGCTCAGTAAGCAAAAACTATCCCTCCAGGGTCATCGAGCATCTCAGAACCATAACGCTTCGCGACAATACAGGACTACGTTTTCGCTTGATATGCAAATAGTTTGCGAGGTTAATGTTCAATATCAAATATACAAATGATGGTGGCGATTTATTGTGCTGTGGAAGAGCTTGGGGTTAAATCCATGATTTTCTGCTCAGTAAGCAAAATCGATCCCTCGAGGGTCATCGAGCATCTAATAATCCACAGCGCTTTGAATAACTATTATTTACGATAATTACATGAAATAAATAAAATATAAACTACAAACAAAACGTGACTGCTAAAATCTCAAAAAGATATTCTCACAAATGATACTCTGCACATGTTAGACACAAGAAGAGGCCAAAAATCAAGCGTCCGACACACAAAACCCGTCAGTCACAATCAACGATTCTACGAATCGCGAGCGCTCACGAATCATAAAACCGCTGACTGCGACACTCTGAAAGCGAAATTGACAGGCTCTACGCGTCAAACACCCGCCCTCCAATCTCCTCCCGCATCCAACAATACAAATCTCCGTTACAACATCTAACGAATTCAAAACTCCGAAAATCACTCATCTATAGCAAGTGAGTGGAAGCAACCCTGCATGCAACCATTCTTCATGATACACTTTTTCTGCATATCTTTCTATTAGGCCTGTGGACATGGTAAAGGTAATTACAAGTAAAATAAATATTGATTATTTACGCAAAACCGAGCAAGTAATATTAAATCTCTTGTATTGTATGCTAATGCTAATTGACTGTAACAAAAATAATATGCTTAAATAAAATAAAATATTAATAAAATGATATGCAAAATTTACTAGAAGGTCATTACTTTATTGGTGAGAAGTTTCTAACAAGCCCTCCCAGTTCCTCTGTATACAGAACAAATCTGATAGTATAATCAGAATTGCTCAGTCTGCATGAAGCAGCCGATTGCATCAAGGAAGTTCTATTAACAACCAAGAATTAATCGTTTGAGGTATACTGAAGCATTAAGAAGGTGATATGTGTCACTATGGGAAATCATCATCGTTGCAAATATAAAGAAATTAAACATAACCCTTTGCTTCAGTACCGTCAACCTCCATGTCCATGGGGAGGGAGTAATATTAAACCATATTTTCAACACGAAGTGCATCCACTTTGATGTGATATTAAAATTAATGTTTTGCTGGGACACAGCCTGTGTGTGCAATGTACAACCATTTTCGCATGGCGATGTACAACGTAATCGCTCAACTTGAACAACAACAAAGGCATTCTACCAGTCCTAGGCGTCTAATACGTAGGTGACACAGTAGGAAGAAGTGTTAGTTTGTTTACTAAAATGAACTGTGTTTATTAGCGAAATTCACATCAAAGATTGATTAATTGCGTAGGAAATCAGTTTGGCACGGCATTTGTGACCAGCATACACCTTCCGGTCGTATGAAACAGGTCAAAAACTGTCCAAATCCGCCCATAACAACTTTTGTTTTGAATTTCTGTTTGGCAAAATAGTGAACTTTTCGTGAACATTAACGGCAAAGAACTCACCAACACTGGGAGACCGTGAGTTCCTGGCCACCTGTCATAAAAACATCTCGCTACCAGTTATTGCCTATTCCAGTACTGCACACAAAAACCACAATCACAAACCCATCCAAATCGAGCTGAACTCGAGTTGGCCTAATATGGAAGCCATGCGCCATAAAATAGGCAACAGCTGAATAGCTGGATACGGTAACAACAGTCAACGGCTGGCTACCACGTGGTAGCTCAACGATCACTTTGTTGTTGAGATTGGAAATGCACTTGTTTATCTTAATTTCGCTTACATACCCCTTTTATCCGGTGAGTTGGATACACCGGCTGCAACATAATCGACTCAGCTGAGTTGCGTTCTAGAATGCTACCATTGTCATAGGTAATGGGTGATCGGATTAGTTCTGAAGCAAGCATCAACCGGAACGGTGGAGGCTGTGGTCAGAATTAAATTCGGTTCAAAGGATCCCGGTTGATCAGTTTCGTTCGGGCTGGATTCCAAGGATTTTCCTTGCATTCGCACAACAAGATGATCGCGATCACTTTCGCTCTGCTAGGAGTATTTTTGGGGGCGATATACGTGTATTTGAAAATTAGATTTGAATTTGCCGCCAAGATACCGGCCGTGGAACCGTTGGTGCCGTTCTTCGGAAATGGTCTGGACTTTACGCAGAAGAATACGTATGAGATTTTTGCCAATTTATCGCGAGTGTTTCATAGCAATAGACACGATAGGCTCTTCAAGCTGAGTTTTGGGCCGGTTGCTGTGCTTTGTCCGACACATCCGGATCTGTTTCAGAAGGTGATAAACGACTCGCACACCATGGAGAAGCCGTACGTGTATGAATTTATGCGGGTGAATTTGGGTCTGCTGGCGGCGAAATGTAAGTGAAAGGATGCTTTTTTAGTAAGGAAATTGTGTGCAAGTGTTTCATTGAAAAAAAATTGAGAGTGAGCTGTTTAGTAGTGTTTTAGTAAAGTGTTTTATAGACTAGAAAACAGTCGAGAAATATCAATACGATGATCAAAATTAAGTCTAAATTAGTGAAAGTGTTGCCGTTGCAAGTGAAGTGATTTGTTTGTATACACAGCAAAAAATAAATTTTAATATTACATCCAAGAGGATGAACTTCAATCATGTCGAAAATCTTATGTTATTTTAAACTAACCAAAAAAATAAAATAAACCAAAATAAAAAAATGCAGTAAAAGCAGCGTAATGTTAGTTCAGTGATAGTTTCGTCCTTTTTGGCAAGTAATATTGCTCCATATTTTTCAACACGATTGAAGCATAGGCCACTCTAAGACCAGAAGTCTCGAAGAAATGTGCTCAACTTTTAGGTTCAGCTCTGGTACTCACTTCGGACCCAAGCTAATCAATGCACCACTCGAAACATAGGAAAATCCACGAGCCCCTCATTTTATCTGTCAAACTTTCATAGCGAATCAAAACAAACATAGTGTAGTACTAGAATTTCGACCATAATGGGGTACGTTAATGGATATGCTTGGGACCAAAAGGCTAGTCAAGTAGTGAGCCAATTTAAAATCGTTAGTTTCCACCGGTTGATTGAAGTGCATCCACTTTGATGTGATATCAAAATTAATTTTTTGCTCTGTATGGTTATGTGTACGTGCAAATTATAGTGACTATCAGTGACAAGCAGTGCTGTCATTGTAAATTTAGAGCTGGTTACAGGGCTGGCAAATGTCAATTTCAATGAAAGATCTCACGTGATATTTACAAAGATACTTCTGTCACTATCATCGGATGAGAAAACATCAAAATCTCATCGATTTTTTTGCCATGACAGAACGGACAGTGTTGTTAGCATCGCTATTATTAGCTCATTTATTGATATAATTGTTACTTGTACCACGGAAATTTTAAAAATATAAACACTCTGCCGATTACATACTGTTGCTTGCTTAAGTTCATCTAAATTAGAAATGTTGATGTCAAAGCCGTATGATAATTATTCTCATGAATGCTAGGTCAAAGGAAAATGACAAGAAATCTCATGATTGGTAGTTTCGTCTCGTAATAGTGAGAAGACCTGTTTACTCATTGTCATATGACGGTCGTGATATTTACCAGCTCTAGCTGGTTACTCACCGATTTTTAAATGTCAACGCTTCGCCCACTTCAAAAGCATGTACCCCTTTCAAGATCAACTATAATTGTGATATAGGAATGTATAACTGCATGTACGCGTAATATACACATTCTTAAAATGTCACTAATTCGTTTCGTTAGCTATCGATATCTGAGACGTAAAATACTTTCGCCAATTAGAGTTAACGCACTTGATAAGCCAACATTTAAATTACTGTTTTATCTCGTTTGGCATGTTTCACTGCCTTCACAAATCAGGAATTGGTAAGTTATAATTACTTTGCGTAGCACTACAGAGGAACATGTTATAGACATCATTAACCTTGCGACGGTCTTTTTCGATCAAAACTCACTATTCAATTGACAGTATCTCAAGAACCCTAAGCTGAATGATCTTGAAATTTGATGAGTTTTCCTTACTTTAGGATTTGAACCTTCTGGTAAAGTTTCAGGATTTTAGGTGCATGTTAAGTGTTTCCTAAAAAAGTCGCATTTTTGCCATCTAGGTCTTTCAGACCCAAGATTTTTATTGTTTTAAAATTATTATTTTTGCTAAGATTATCAATCTACTTGCACGACTGGCAAGATACATGTTCCATATTGCCATTCAATGGAATCTAGCTGCCAATTGGCTATTATGACCACACGGAACCGTATACAATCTGGAGTAAATCCGAGTGAATGGAGAATGGCTAGTCTGTGATTAAAATAACTTTAAAAAGGAAAACTAAAGTTGACCGTTCAACTATGACTAGACCAAAATGGTATTTCCGAACCTGATTTGAACACTTAGAGAGCATATACTGGTTCACGATTTTTGACGTAGAACTACGTCTTTGTGAATTATACAGGGCGCAAAAACCAATTATGTTACTGTGTTGTGTTCTCAAAGTTCTGTGCAAAGTTATCCTCAACCGGATACAGGAGAAGATCGACGTGACTCTCCGACGGCAGCAGGCGGGATTCCGTGCTGGAAGATCCTGTGTGGACCATATTGTCTCACTCCGCATAATCTTGGAGCAGGTCAACGAATTCCAAGAGTCCCTTTACTTGGTTTTCATTGACTACGAAAAAGCTTTCGACCGACTCAACCACGAAAACCTGTGGGGCGCCCTAAGGCGCAAGGGAGTTCCGGATAAAATCGTCAACCTCATCGAAGCTCAGTATGAGGCTTTCACGTGCAGGGTGCTGCACAACGGAGCCCTATCTGACCCTATTCGGGTAGTCGCTGGAGTGAGGCAAGGATGTATTCTATCACCGCTACTGTTCCTCATCGTAATCGACGAGATAATGGTTGGTGCGATCGACCGTGTGCCGAACCGTGGGTTGCTCTGGCAGTCTATTACAATGGAGCATCTAAACGACCTAGATTTGGCGGATGACGTTGCTTTAGTATCACAACGGCGTTCTGACATGCAGAGTAAGCTCGACGATCTCGCCGAACGCTCCTCAGCGGCAGGTCTCAACATCAACGTCAGCAAGACTAAATCGTTGGATATCAACACGGGAAATCCATCCAATTTTACGGTAGCTGGTCAGGAAGTGGAGAAGGTTGAAAGTTTCCAATATCTTGGCAGCCAGATAGCGTCGGACGGCGGAACCAAGAGTGACATAGGTGCACGGATCAAGAAGGCAAGGGCTGCTTTTGCGAGTTTACGAAACATCTGGAAGTCAAATCAGATTAGTCTCCGCACGAAGATCCGAATTTTCAACTCTAACGTGAAATCTGTACTGCTGTACGCTAGCGAAACATGGTGCGTATCAGCGGAGATCACACAGAAGCTGCAGGTGTTCATCAACCGATGCCTGCGGTATATAATTCGTGCTTGGTGGCCTCACAACTGGATTTCGAATGCCGAGCTCCATCGACGGTGTCACCAGAAGCCGATATCGACAGAAATTCGGGAACGTAAGTGGAGGTGGGTTGGCCACACTCTACGGAAGAGCGGAAATGAAATCTGCAAACAAGCGCTGGATTGGAATCCAGCCGGACATCGCAGCAGAGGCAGACCCAGGGGCTCATGGCGGCGAAGCCTAAACAAGGAGATTAAGCAAGTCGACCGGAATTTGACCTGGGCCCAGGTCAAGGCGAAAGCAAACAATCGCCCAGGATGGAGATCTTTCACGTTGGCCCTTTGCGCCAGGGATGGCGCTCAGGACACTTAAGTAAGTAAGTAAGCAAAAACCAATGTGTGGCAAAATAGGGTTAGGTATTGGACGCTTGTAACTTTGTCATTTATAGGTGAAATTAAAATGAAAATACGCCAATCGTTAGTAAATAACTCTACGAATCATTAATTTATCATGTTTGAATTAATTCATGTGTAAAGTTAACGATTTACATAGTTGCAGATGCTTAAAGTCAAATATCAGACTTGAAGTGGTCACTTTATACGAAATTATAGAGTTGATAGTTCTGTTAAAGTACGGCAGTGTGAAAATTTCATAAAGAGAGTAGAACGCGAGCAAAGGTAAATTTTGATGAAGGTTCGAGATCGTTAAGTTGACGATAACAGCAGCAAATAAAGAGTATCCCACATCAAATAGCATCACGAAAAAAAAAAAACGGTTTAGAAAATTACCTAGTTGACCGATCCTTTTCAAACCTTCATACAATAAAATATAACCCATTAGTAAACTTTTGGCATATTTATTTCACTCAACTTCAATACCATAACCGTACACTCACACCTTACGCTTAACTCCACTCATTAGGTTCTGTACAACATCTGGCTGCAGCTTCTTCTGTACGGAAACCCACTTTTTCCTCATGTCTTCCTTAGATGCTTCCGTAGTGTCTGCTGTGCCGGTGCGTTGGCGGGGGGGGGGGGGGGGGGTCCTGTCCTTGGGTACTAAAGTGACCCCGTTGGCTTCGCACCACTCCCGAACAACATTTGAAAAGTGGTATGAAGCTAGATCCGGCCAAAAGATCGGCCCTCGTGTTGCTTCAACAGAGGAAGCAGATGCTTTTGTAGACACTCCTTGAGGTAGATCTCCCCGTTTACAGCCCCGGTAGTCACGAACGGCGCACTCCGTTTGCCACATGAGCAGATTGGCAAACTTTGAAAGTTTCTGCTTCCTTACGTCCTCCGGAACATCAAATTTGTGCTGGGCGGTGAAGAACAGCACCCGCGCAAGATGCCGGAGGTCCGCCTTGACGTAAGTATCATCATCCATGATAAGAAAATAAGGCTTCATCAGCATCTGGGTGTACAGTTTCCGGGCCCGTGACTTTCCCACCGTATTTTGCTGTTCGTCACGATTTGTGCGTATGCAGTCCCTTCCGGTCATTGGCTCTCTGAACGAAAGACTTGGACAGATTCAACTTTTTGGCCACATCCCTGACCGAAGTATTGGGATCCCGTTTAAATGCTTTCACGACACGCTTATGATCCTGATCACTAATAGAACATCCATTCTGACCGCATTTCTCCTTCCGTTCGATGCTCAGAGTTTCGTAGTAACGTTAAATCACACGACTCACCGTTGCCTGCACGATTCCGAGTTGTTTTCCGATGTCTCGATGAGAGAGTTGAGGATTTTCCAGGTGCTTGCGCAAAATCAATTCGCGGCGTTGCTTTTCGGGTGACGCTATTTTTTCTAAGTTTTGAAAAACTGACAGCGATAAAAGTACAGTGTAAACAATACACTCTAAACTACTTCTATCCAAATTTTCAAGAGAAAATACCCAATGGGTAATTTTCTACGGCGTTTTTTCCGTGATGCAATTTGATGTGGGACACCCTTTATATATAATGATTAATCATAT